CAGTTCGCCCCGAATCTCGGAAGCGATACGCTCGTACGCCTCTTCATCGGCATACTCGCTTTCCCAGCTTTTCAGCTTCGCTTCCTCGTCATCGAGCGTCGGGGCATCTGGTTTCTTCAGGTCGGCAATCATCGCCAGATTGCCCTTAATCTGTCCCAGATCATTCTCGTCATTCTTGGCTTTTTCAAGCCGAACCAGACCCTCCTCCACCTTGGCGAGGCGTTCTTGAAACTTCGCTGTAAGCTCTCGCCTCGCCTCCTTTTTCGCCCTCTTGACCTTAGCATCAAACAAGGCATCCTTGGCCTCGATACGCCTCTTCAGCATCGCCACCTCGGCACTTTTGGCTCTCCTCGCCTCCTCAAGGCGAATGACCGAGGCGGAGACTTTATCTACGTTTGCACGCAGGACGATCTTCTCCTCTTCCAGCCTGGACGCCCTGGCCGTCGCCTCGTCCAGTTTCCCCTTTACCGCCGCGGCTTCGGTCTGAGCCTCTTCCAGCTTCGTTTTCGACGATGCGGACTCAATTTTGGCCTCGGCCAAGCGACGTTCGACCTTAGACAGGTCCGCCTCGTACTCGGCCATTAGGTCGTTAATGGCCGCGACAAACTGCAGAAAATAAACTCGTGTCAAATACTTAGCGAAAATTCACGAAAGCAAAGGAAAGCAAAATGGAATGTACCTTGGTCCCGCGCTGCGCCATTGCGCCGTAGGACCTCGGCCTCCTCAACTTCTCCGGAGGAGGAAGACGCGTGTTCGCGTTATTTACACGCAAGAACATTATGGCGGAGGCGTCGGGGTCATCGACGACCAACTTACGTGAGGCGGATTCTCCGGGCGTCGGCTTCTGTCTCTTCTTGGGCGGCTCGTCCCTCTCAACAGCGACCCCCTTCCCTTTATCAGCAGCCGAACGTTTTCGGCTCGGATCGTGTTTCTGCACGACGGAAGTCGGGGGCCTCGTCGACTTCGGGAGGGCTAGAATAGCGGAGTTCGAAGGCTCTTTGTTCCGAACCGCCGAATCGCCCCCAGACGCCTCGGGAACAATTTCGCCCTGTTCCACCTCGGGCGCCACATCTCTTTCGACCACCTCGGTCGTATTACCCTCCGCAGCTCGGGTCGTTTCATCCCGGTTCGGCGGGTCGGTTTGAGGGGTGGCCTCGGCTTGCGCTGAAACCACCTCGGCCTGCGCCGGAACCACCTCGGCCTGCGCCCGAGCCGCCTCGGCAGCTCGTCTAGCGGCTTCTTCCTGTTCGCGTCTCTTCCTTTCTCGGAGGGTTAAGATCACCATCTTTTCGCGGGTATCTCTGGAGGAACTAGAGGATGAAGAGCTGACGGGAACTCCTGCAAGAATGGATCGCGCCTTCTCTACTCTCTCGAGGGTGAAATTCTTTCTCCAGTTAACCTTCCGCGCCGAAAGAGAGTCTCGAACGGTGAACAGATCGTTGGGAATCGGGGGAAGATAGCACCGAACTGCAAAACAAAGCAAAAAAAAGACAAGTGTCAGAAAAGGAAGAAAGTTTGAACCGAATCTCCGAGCCGAGGCAAAGCTTCGGGTCGGCTACCAAGTGGTCCCCAAGCGGTCTTGGTTCGGCAAACGTAATCCTCGCCGACCGACGCCTCGTTCACTAAAACGTAGAAGAAGCGTTCAGTCCAGAACTGGTCCTTGCTGGGAAAACCGCCGATAATCCGTCGTTTCGCCTTGTTGGAAATATAGAACCTGTTTCCTTTCGGAGCCTTCCTGATTTCCAGCAAGTTCAGCAGGTGGTTCAGCTCAATGTCAAGACCGCATTCGAAGCTTCGGACTAAAATGCCGATCATATGCTGCAGTCCCCTCGGCATAATCTGCCCGATCGAGATCCCGTGTTTCCAAAGGTATTCGAGGATCACTCCGGGGATTGGGAACCAGAGGAAGCAAAGCTCGAAGAACGCCTCGTACAGAGTGAAATGATTCTCTGGAGGGTTGTCAGCGCGGTCGCTTTTCTCTGGGACAACGAACTCCACCGCCTCGGATATTCCGAAGCGATGCCTCAACGCTTCGAGCGACTCAAGGGAGCAGAGTGTAGACCCAGGCGGGTCGGGTTTTTGCCTCTTAACTCTTGGCGCTCGCCCAGATGTGGAAGCACCTCGGGACGCCATGAGGCGTTCCAACTCAAGCTTCGCCTCGAAAAGATCAAAGGGAAATGCCTCCTCCTCGGCCTTGAGCGCGGCTCGGTTAATGCCCTCGTTAGGAACGGGATCCTAGGGACGGCTCGTCGAAACCGACGGCTCGCCATCCGGAGAGCCGACATCTGATGGGTTTTCATCATTTGACGCCTCGTCAGATGAATGGTGAGAACGGCTCGGCGAAGCAGACGCCTCGGAAGAATCCATCGCACCCCTCGCCTCGGCGTCTATACGACTCGGCTCGTAGTGGAAAAGCGGATCTAACGAGTCATCAGAACGGTTCGAAATACTTTACAACTTTTACAATGAATTACAACTTGACTCGGCGAGCCTCTACCGGAAAAAGATCTGGAACGGCGGAGACCTCGGAAACCCTAGCCGGAAAATAAATAAACTAGAGAGAGAAAGAAGAGAGAAGGGAGAGCTACCTTTAGTAAAAACGAGTGAGTCGGGAAATAATGAGGAGGAGTGAAAGAGCTCACCTATTTATAGAAAAACGAGGCGCGTGAATTCCGCGTGAACCTCGGGAAGCCGTCCAACAGCGCGTAGGGTCCGCGGCAAATTGGTCATACCGGGTTGCATCGTTGGCACGCGCCGAAAGATCCGGAACTTCCTCTCGGAAGACCAACAGTCAGGGTACCCAGGATAACGAAACGACTTGGTATAGACTCTCTCTCACTTGTATCGCCTCATCGTCTAACGAAAAGGCTCGGCATTATCTGTCTCTCTCGAAACGCCTCGTCGTTAAACAAAACGGCTCGGCATTAACTATCTCAAAACGCCTCGTCGTTAAACAAAACGGCTCGGTGTTAACTATCTCAAAACGCCTCGTCGTTAAACAAAACGGCTCGGCATTATCTGTCTCTCTCGAAACGCCTCGTCGTTAAACAAAACGGCTCGGCATTAACTATCTCAAAATGCCTCGTCGTTAAACAAAATGGCTCGGTGTTAACTATCTCAAAACGCCTCGTCGTTAAACAAAACGGCTCGGCATTATCTGTCTCTCTCGAAACGCCTCGTCGTTAAACAAAACGGCTCGGAATTAACTATTCTTCTTGAAACGCCTCGTCGTTAAACGGCTCGGTACAAATCCTTGTTCTTGAAACACCTCGTCGTTAAACGGCTCGGCACTGACCCTTGTTCTTGAAACGCCTCGTCGTTAACAACACGGCTCGGCATGAACTTTCACTCGAAACGCCTAGCCATATAGTCGGCTCGGCATAACCGTCACCAAATCGCTTTGTCCCTGATTCGCCTCGGCATCTTTGGCACTCCTTGGAAACACCTCGGCACTCACACTCCCAAAACATGAATCTGGGCTCGTGTCGTAGCAGCTCGGCTCGATGGTTTATCTCGTGGTCAGGAGTAATGTACCTCGTCACTCTCGACTCCGAGATTGACGAGCTGGGGGGCTAACTGTTGGGGTCGGTTTCCACCCCACACAGATAAACCATCCCAAAATAACTAAGTATAGAAAATGGGAGAGCCGTGATCATCAAAACGGGAGAGCCGTTCTCACCAAGGCAAGAAGGAGAGCCGTTTTTACCAAGGAAGGCGGGAGAGCCGCAATCGCCAGGTGGGAGAGCCGAGAAGAAGGAGATGGGCCGAGCCGTATAACATAACATAGGCCGAGCCCCTGTCTTAAATACCTGGGCCGAGCCGTGCCGCGGAGAGGTGGAGCGAATTATGTCAAGTGGGCCGAGCCGTAAAGAAAGCATGATGGGCCGAGCCGAAGCCTTGAAGAGGCGAAGCCCACGAAAAACCCTAGGCGAGATGCAAAGTCAGTCAGCCGCACGAGGCGATAAGGAAATATTCCGAAAATCTTGCCCGAGATTCTCGGCTAGGCGGTTTAGAAAATCAGTATAAATATGTGGTGTATGTAATTCATTCCGCAAACTTTGGCAACCCTAAGCAATAAGAACGAAACACTTTCACAGCAAGAAAAGCTCTCTTTTGATCTTACTGTCTTTGGCGATAAGCCCTAGAAGTTTCCGATCCCTTAGTTTCTTTACAAATCTTTGGTTGTGCGAGTTTTGGCTCACACAATCATTACCGGAGAGAATATTCGCCGCCGGCGAAGAACCTGTCGGCAAAAAGGTTAATTCCTACCACAAATCCAAGGCAATTAACAACATCCTTAGCGCATTGGACGAAGAGGAGAAGGATTTCATGCGAAAATCTCCGTTTGGCAAACTAATCGCGACTGCGGAAAAACCCTCCCTTTCCGTGAGTTTCGGTCACTTCATCATCACGAGGTTGCTTAAGGTTAGTAAAAAGTACGGAATATGGATTCTTTTCGCCGGCCGTCCAATTAGAGTGTCTCTCCGAGAATTTGCTATTGTCATCGGGCTGCCTTGCGGCAAGTACCCGAAAAAGCAGAAGAAAAAGAAGAGAAACCCCATTCTGGAGAAGCCATACTGGCCGGACTTGTTTGGAAATCTGAAGACATGCAGTATCGACAGTCGTTGACCGCAAAACGCGACTGAAGTATGCCTGTCTCGCTTCAACCGGCGCAGTTTTGTGCCCCACCAATCACAGATCCAAAATCGTCTCCGAACATGTGGAATTGAATAGAAGCATCGAAGAGTTTTTCTCACACCCGTGGGGCAGAGTGGGATTTGAGATGTTGATGTCTAGCATCAAATTTAAAGATGAAGTTGCACTGGCACAAAGCATAGTCGCGGTTAAAGGTTTCTTTCACGTGATATAGTTAGTGTTGGTGGAGGCATGTCCATCGTTAACCGAAGTAGTTCAATTGAATGAGTCTTCTTCATAATCAGAATCTGAAGGAGACGAAGAGGAGGGAGAGTCCGATGACGTTGCCCCAGCCAACATGCCGGAGAACCCCTCAAATGAGCAATCGATTGCTGGCGATGCCGAGAAAAACGCTGGAAAGCCTTCGACACACACAGAGTTGGCGACTGTCGGACTAAGTCCAAGTCACGCAAGGGAAATCGACGAAGGATGCAAGGTAATATCTTACCTGTTAACTTTAAAATTTACAATGTAACAAATGTTTTGTTATTTAACAACTTTATTATCGGACTAACATTCGTGATAACGCTGCAACTTTTTTGTATGCAGGTCTCGGTTTTTAGCATTATCCCCGACGATTCAGATTCTGCAATGGAGGATGCGGACTTTTGCTGGTACGACGAGGAAGACGATCCAAAGGTTGATAATATGGTAAATCTCATCGGGGAAAACTTTGAATTCCGCAAAAACATGTTTCAGGGTGGTTTGTCTCAGGCTGAGTTGGCGAAGATGCGCCTTGAGAGGAAGGAAATCATGGAGCGGAAGGAGAGGGAGAAAGAGAAGGCCCAGGAAAATGTAACCAATCTTGGTGCCGCTGGTCCGTCGTCGACTGCTCCCCCCCCCCCTAACATAGCTGAACTGTTGTCTGCCACGGTAAAGGCAGAGCTAGCTCCAGTTGAGCTAAAGGTGGCAGCTGCTATCGACAAGATATCGACTATTGAAACCAATTTGTCCACTCTTGGCACTGTGATGAAGACAGCTATGGAACGGATGATTACATCAATGCAGGAACAAGTAATATCCAACATTATTGGTTTTCTAGGCAAGTCTGTTTCGGAATTCGACAGGCACGACATTGAAAGAGATAGATCTACGGCTCGTGGAAACGCAGAGAGGCAAGGCGATGCAGGACAAACAGGGGCAAGGACTGAAAGAGATAGATCTACGGCTCGTGGAAATCACCAGACACGGCAACAGGTCCAAGCGGATGCAGTTATAAATGACGCCATTGCGTTTGCTAACAATATTAATACGGACCAACAGACGGATATGCAGCAGGAGGGCGAAGGAGTTGGAGGTCTGAGTTCAGAAGCTGGCAAAAGTAACGAGAGCCCGGAAGAGAGACAAGTACGTTATAGGATTAGTATCATAGTTACTCTTTTTGATTTTCGTATACAATCGTAAATAACCACATAATAGGAGCTGTAGCTGTCTACGATCTCCATTAACTAAGATAACTATAGGTGTATCTGATAACATTAAGCGTAACAACGATGTTAGTTGTGACTTGTTAATATGATTGTTTTTGCCAGGATGGTGCTACTGAAGGCGATGGGGATGGGGATGACCCAGTTGATGAAATTGGCGATGAGGGAGATGGTCCACGGCAAGGCAAGAGGGCTAGGGTGCAGACATCGTTCAACGACTTCCACGTGGATCCGAAGTGGGGTTCATGCACGATGGGGAGCAATCCCTTTTTATGCCACACTGAAGAACGACCAAGTTATTTTACCAAGTTTGTGCGCTTACACGAGGTGTTGCAGAACTATCGGTAAGGTCTCCCCGTCTTGGTAATTAGAATGTTAGATCGGTATGTTCAACTAACATCAGCCAATAGATATGTTAGAGTTGCTACTTAGAATGTTAACCTGAACTTTCTGTTTTGTACTATAATATTACAACGAATTTTGTGTTGAAAGTTTGTCTCCGTATGTAGGATATTCAACCTTGGCAGTGGCACTTCTGTTAACAACAAGGATGTTCTAGACATAGCTGATAGGACAAAGCCCATGATGCCTAAGGTAATGCCTTCATTCCACTGCCGTTCGACTTTATCCACGACATTATAACGCCTAACAAAAGTAATATCAGATAACTAGGTGGTTAGATGTATAGTCACATAACTATGTTCATAAGTTTTCAGTTTAATGGTTTAGATGTTTGTTTTATGTAAAATAAAAGTGTAGAGCCCATAATTTATTTAGAACTAAGCGTTTTGGTTGTATCTAGATGATGGACGCGCTTCTCCTATACGCCCGCGCTGTCTATGTCCGGAGTCTCATTTGAACAAGACGGTGTTTCTTGAAACCAAATTCACGACTGCACTGATGAAGACCTGGAGTAAGTTTTCCCGTTTGGCTGTCAAAGACCGTCATAGGTTCAAATTTTGGGATGGTGTCATGGATCACCTTGAGGTGGACATTGTAGAGATCCCAACGCCAGAGCGTTTGTATTTGCCATTCAACTTTGACAGGGAGCACTGGATTGGCATAGCTGTTGACACAACTGCTGGGAGTATGCACGTGTTGGATTACAACCTCTCTTTGAGGACTGATAGCGCTATAAAGAAGGAGCTGGCCCCCATATCAATGATGTTACCGTACGTACTAAAGCAAATTCCATCCAACAAACGTGTTAGCGAGTCTAAACCTTACGTTATCGTTCGACCTAAAGGAATTCCACAGAACGGCATCATGTGCGATTCTGGTGTCACAACTGCCCTGCTTATAATGTTACACTCGGTTGGAGGGATTGACCAATGCAAGATGCTCACTCCCGATGAGATGGCCAAAGAGAGTCAGGTTTTGGCTGTTCAGTTTTTCGAGGAGTTTGATGCTCCAGCGTAAGCCAAGGGATGCAGGCCTTAACAAAAAGACATTTGTTTTTATGTTTTCTTCTTTTCCTTTAAAAACTTTGTTGAATTTGTCCCATGCTTATTCATTGGCCATGTCAAACTATTTTCTATTTTTTAAAAATTAGTTCTGTAGCAAATATCAAATGATATGATAACATGTTTTATAAATCGGTAATCAGAATGTTAGATCAATAGATTAAACCAACATCAGCCAATTTATATGTTAGAGATGCTAATTAGAATGTTAACTTGAACTTTCTATGCCTACGTCTGGTTGATTTTAGGGCGATGGAAATATCAACAACTAGATAAAAAAGTGGACAGGCATAGTAAACAACAATATTTTATAGTAGGGGCAACAGAATAGATCATCTTACAAACATATTTTACAGAAACTTAGAGAGGAGTTTGCTTGGGTTCATTAATACACGAAACATATTAAAAACATAAAGTAATTTAAACCGACATAGTGTCGGTTTATGCAGCTCAACAAAAAGGAACCAACTGCATGGAATCCGTTGACCCCATTCATCATTTCCATAGCGGTTATGGCCGAAGCTACCACATCGACCATAGATGTTTAAACGCCTCGGTAATCCTCCATGTAACAACGTAATAATAATGTTAGTTTGTTAACTCTTAAAGTTACACGGGTAAACAGAATGATAACCGAGTCGATAATAAAAAATTACCCCAAATTCTCCACGAGAGCGGATGCGCTTTTTGCGTGGCCTCCCAGGCGGGCGGCGGGTGTTAGGTGGCTTCAGGTTAAGAGATGAGAAGTCGTCGCCTACTGGAAGAGTTGGCGCAGACATTGTTACGGGGTAGATGCTGCACTCGTATGCCTTGTTTCAAAAAGCTGTGGTGTATTCAATTCCAACCAAGGAGTCAACCCTTGTATCAGATCTCAAAGCCGCGACTACAGCATGGCAGCAAGGGATCCGCAACATCTGGAATTCATGACAGCTGCATGCCTGCGTCTCCAGGTTAACCAGGAAAGGAACCCCCTCTTTGTTCCGGACCTCGAATTCATCTTGATTTATCCGACGGAACAAAAAACCCTGTTCAAAGTTCAAAGTTAGTAGCTAGGATCTCCTCTACCTTTGGGGTTAGCGTGTTATTTGTCTCCGAAGCGAGGGTACGACGAGTGTTAAACCAACCCATCAGAGTTGCCCTAATGTACTCGATCAATGGCACAATTGGGTAATCCCGTGCAGCTGCGAGCACATTGTTGAGGGATTCAGCTACATTGCTGGTCATGATGTTGTACCGGAGACCGTTGAAGTGAGCCCTCGTCCAGTGTTTGAATCCAATAGTTGTCAAATAGTCAGCGCAACCTGAGTCCACAGCTCGAATTTGGTCAAATAGTTCACAGAATTGGGAAGGTAGGTAAGCTCTCGCAGCTTGAGACACCAAATAGCTGAGATGCTTCCTCTTGAAGATCGCCTGGACGTTACGCTGGAGATGCACAACACATGCACTGTGCCATTGGATACATCTAATCACATTGACACAGCATAGTTAGCGTCAAGCCAGTTATCACTAGTATTTAGGACGCTAACACTATGAGTACACATTTAAAAAGGTTTATTAACGAGAAGCAAATAACTCATTATCAAAAAACCCGTGCATCTTAAGCAGGCACTTATATGATTCTCTAACTAAAATAGATATTAACGTGATAACATATTTGTTATCAATGGTATAAGACACTAACAATATGAGAACACATATAAAGTTTTTATTAACCTGAAGCAAACAACTTACCACCAAAAGACCCATTCTTTTACTAAAAATGCGCTTATATATTTATCCATCTACACGAACTACTAACGCGGTACTATAAGTGTTAACGCACCATTAATATGAAACAAACAACTCATTATCAAAAGATCCATGCATGTTAACCAGGCACGTATATGTTTATCCATCTACACCAACTATTAACGCGATACTATAAGTGTTAACACACCAATAAATTAAATGCATATCTAAAACTGTTATTATTAATATAGTTGCAGATTAGAGTGTAATACCTTTTGCAGGCCGGCATAGATCGAGTTATGCCGGTCAGACACAAAAACGAGATCATGGCTGTCCGACACCACCTCCTGCAACTTCCGAAAAAACCAACTCCATGCCTTGTCGTTCTCTCCATCCACTATCCCAAAAGCCACTAGGTAAAGCTGGTAGTTTCCGTCTTGACAACTCGCGGTGAGCAGGCAGCCTGTGTACTTCCCTTTAAGGTGGGCGCCGTCGTTTATGAGGACTTTGCGCATATAGGGATAACCATTGAGGCATGCCCCCAAGGTGAAGAACAGATATTTGAACCTTTGGCCCACTCCCTCATCGTAATCCGTTTCTAGGGAAACAACTGTTCCGAGCTTTGACATAACCAAGCGCTGTAGGTAGATGGGTAGCACCTTGTAAGAATTGTCAGAAGTTCTCAACCCTGTGTCCCTTGCTAAATCCCTAGACCTCCACGCCTTCCAGTATGATATTGGGACGTCATGATCATCACGCATAAGCTCCCGTAGTTCATTAGGTCGGGGTCCAACACCATCGGCGTATTTGTTTTTGAACAAATCTCCAATCACACTTGTCTTAGCTTGCACATGAAAGCGGCTACACTCGTCAATGGTACAGTTGTGGTCAAGCCGGGCACGTCTGATCTGAAACCACTCTATCCCTTCCATCCTTACGGCGTACACCCTCCATGGGCAGTTTTGCCCGACACATTCCAAGTCCATCCTGCTTGGTGTCGATTTTTGGGTAAAGTAATGGAACTTTTTGGCCATGGCGTATAAGGACATATGGAGCTTGAACGCGTCTTGGTCTTTGAAAACCATCCCCACGTAGAGGATGCCTGGTTTGTTAACACCGTCCCCTACGAAGTATAATACGTATGTTAGCTAGGCACGCTGACAGTTGGAGATCCAACAAATATGTTAGCGAGTATATGAGTAAAGCGATACAGATATAGTCACATTCTTCGTCAGACATGTCAGCATCTTCCGAGTCATGTTGTTTAGGGTTGACACCACTAGGACCTCCATTGCAACGCATAGACAAACCCAAGAACGGTCCCTCGTTGATATCTTGGTCGATTTTAGTTTTGCCTTTATCAGTCAGGCTATTGGCTGGCCTCTTCCCCTCACTTGTTGAGCCCAACGAAATCGCCGAGTTAGTAACCCCTGGATTGGTAAAATATTCGATAAGCGTTAGTTATGTATTTGGAGATGCACATGAATAACATACCCGCTAATGATATGCATAGATATGTACCTTCACATGTTAGAGGTCGTATGGAGAGGTGTTGAACCCCTGATGTAACTCTGGACGGCTGTATCACGGTGTCAAGATTGCCGTCTACATTTCCGATAGTTGTGATGTTCAAGCTTGTATCTGGGAGCATCAAACACAGATCCCACGAGGAGTTGCTAGTCGAGCTGTGTCCACCACCGACGGGCACCCCGTAAGAGGACTCCATGCGGGTCATAGCCTCATGCATCTCCTCCAGGAAACGCCTCTCCTCGTCCGTGAAAATTTCCTCCGCAACACTCTTTGCTATGGAATATAGGACCCTTGACAACCCCTTCCCAAAAATTTTTAACATCGTCAAGTCCACCGCAAGTCATATCCATTAACTTTTCTTGTTTTACGTTAACAAAATGATTACCGGTGTACGCAGGCAAGGAGCGGGGCAAAGTTGGCTGAACACCTTCAAACCCCGGCGGTGGACCTCGAACAGTCAGGTTGTGTCGCTTCTGAAACTTATAACGCTCGACATTATAAACCCCGAGTGTCACATAGATTGCAAGCGAATTAAAATCAACTTTGACGGCCATGAATAACTCCATGTCCGCCGTGAATGCGATGTCCTGTGGCGTAGTTTTTTTTCCAAAGGACCGACCATAGCCTCCGGTAGTTTGTAGGTCAGCGCCATCATTTCATACCTTGGAATTTTGTAGCGCTCCCTCACCATTCCGTCAAGCGACTCGATGATAGTAGGTTTTTAGCCTACTAAGGTCAATTAACCTCTTGTGTTGTAGCACTTGAGGGTCAATCCAAATGAAGATTATCTAGACACTAAGGCTATGAGGATCAATTCTTAATCCAAGTCCAATCAATCAGGTTGGTGATTAAGTGATCTAAAAACATAAAGCAAACAAGAAAAAGCAGTAACTAAGAACAAGCAAACAAGAGAAACTAAACAAACACTCAAATTCAAATAAACAGAAAGCTAAACCTCTAGATGTGATCATTGATCAGGGTGCTTTAAATGTGAATTCATGATGCTAAGCAAACAATGCAATTCTTGCAATTCTTTAGTCTAGACTTCCAAAGCAGATTAATTCATTCTCATGACAAAAATCCCTTTGTTAATTACCAATTGAAGACTAATTCCCATTAGATGAATAAACAATCAACAAGCATAAGGTTCCAAGTCTAAAATGACCAGACAGCCTCTTTGTGCATCAAAATAAGAGCTAAGAAAGACTGAATCTTATACAGAAAGATAAAGCAAACATCACATGATCTCAAATTCCAATTAACTTAGAACTCTAATCTAGATTAATCCTCTCATGAAGGCACTAACCTCTACACTAATCCATTTTCAAACAAAATCATCATTTGTGAAAATACGAATCAATGAGCATTAAGAAACAGTTCTAATATGTCATTCATGCATTTAACAATCATTCCCATGATGAAAAATGCATAAACCCTTAAGTTAGCTCATTCAGGCATTTCATCAAACACCTTGTGGGTGGAGAAATGCCTAAGTTCTAGATCAAGCTTATAATGAGAGATCTAGCATTAGGATCAGCTAACTAAGGAAAGGAGAAGAATATGTAAGCTTAAACAATCATTAATCTACATCTAAGCACCCTAATCTATACACCTAGAAGCTTAAAAGAAGACTACTCACTAATCATGATGAACATACCATTTCCTTTGCAAGAGGTGATGTAAATCATGATTAGAAGC